GAAAGGCTTAAAAATGATAGAGAAAAATACGAAAAAGCTAAGCAAAAGCAAAGGGAAAGATATCATAAAACTAAAAGATTGGTCAAAGTTTTAACACCAAAAGAACGGTATAATGCAAACGTGATATGGAAACTAAGGAAAAGGCAGTTGAAGGCACGAAAGAAAGCTGCAGAAGGCTTATTACAACAGACACCTCCAGATTCGCCTACATTCGATTAAAAATGTACAAGATGGAACTCCGCCACCATCGCCATCGTCCCGAGATCGATCCTCACGAATTACGCCGCCACCCTGTTTTAGACCTTCACCAGGTCTTCGAAATACAGTACGCTGTTCTCCACGGTTAACACCACGATTTGGCAAGGAAAGCCCACGAAATGCACCTGTGACAAATATCACTCCTACAACTACACCGGTCGCTTCGCCTTAAGCCACTCCACCGCTAACGCCAAGAATACGTTCGTGTGACTTCACCATCTGGGACCCCAAAAAATAGACGCAAAAATAAAGTTAAAAAGGACAGGGCACGCGTACATAGAGAAAACCAAATACTTAAGCAAAATATTAAAAAGTTGAAACAAAAATATGACAAGTACAAAAAAAGGTTTGAAAGAGAAAAGAAAAAGAAGAATGAAGAGAAAAATGAAGACTTACGATACAAGGTCCTGAGTGAAGCTATTAAGAAGACATTTAAACAAACAAAATCGAGGAAAGAACGAGAGGTGATTAAGAAAATTTTTTCAACTGTGGAAGTCATAGACTCACGAATGAAGAAAAAGATGCTTATGAATAATTTAGGAATTGACAAAATAGTAAAAAGGAAATTCTGCATTGAGAATGAAATTGTGTTAAAGAGACGAATTAAAGATTTTTATTTGAGAGATGATGTTTCAGGAGCTACAGCCGGCAAAAAAGAAACTGTCACAAAAGCACAGGTGAAGGTTCAAAAAAGATCTATGTTGGATTCTATGAAAAATTTATATAAAGCATTTATTAAAGAGAACCCTGACCTTCGTTGTTCATATTTTTATTTTACAAGAAATAAGCTATTTTATGTGGTTAGTGCTTCTGTTGATGGTCGAAATACGTGTCTATGCAAGATACACACAAACTTTGCATACAAAGCTAATGTTTTGAAAAAAAAAAAGGTATAACAGGTACTGACAACTTAAATATTCTTATTGAGTCGACTGTTTGTAATGTGAAGTCAAAAAATTGTATGTATGGTATATGTGATCTATGTGCTAATAAAAAATATGAATATTTCCGAAAGAATATAAGCGGTACTATCACATGGCCAGAATGGATAAGAAAAGAAGATAGTTACAAGAAAGACGAAAAATTATTAAAAACTATAAAAAATGTTAAAGAATATAAAAATGAGGAGGCTGAAGCATTTGTCAAAATATTCGAGAATGATCTTAAGGCGTTTAAAATACATGTATTTAATATTAAGATATAATTTCAAAGTTTCCGCCACTGTCTTGATAATATACGTCCATATGAATGCATTTTGGTCGCCGATTTCAGTGAAAATTACAACTGCAAACATAGCCAAGAAGTACAATCCCACCATTTTGGAGGGTCGCGTAAACAAATTTCTCTTCATACTGTTGTAGTGTATACATTTAACAAAAACTCTGCAAAAGGTTATGAAGTTAATTCATTTTGTACTATTTCCGAATCCAACAACCATCAGCCTGCAGCGATTTGGTGCCACTTAGATCCAATTTTGAAAAGTATAAGGTCTAATTTTGCAGATATCAACACAGTCCATTTCTACTCGGATGGCCCAAGCACCCAATACCGGCAAAAGCAAAATTTTTATTTAATGTGTACAAGGTTTTTTGATTACGGGTTTGTTAATATGACATGGTCATTTTTTGAAGCTGGCCACGGAAAAGGGCCAGCTGATGGAATAGGAGGATTTCTCAAAAGAACGGCGGACAAAATCGTAGCTAATGGTAAAGACATTGCTAATGTTTGGCAATTCTATGAGGAGATGAAAAATGTTAGTAAAATAATATTATATGTAATTGACTCCAATGATATCGAGAACCAACATAAAGCCCTACCTAAAAGTATTCCACGACTTGTAGGAACGCTAAAAGTACATCAGGTTTTCTCAAACTGTTATGGGAAGCTAGAATACAGGGACCTAACCGTTTTTGTGAGAGTGAGAGCCTAAGACCAAGAGGATTCTGTTCGTGCCTTAACCCAAAACTTTATGACCTTGCAGTTCTTTTTGATGCAAATAAGAATGAACTTCTCCCAGACCTGACTAATGAAGATGCTCTGCCAGAAGATTTAGAAGCACACATGATTGATGTCATGGCTTCTGATACTTTGACTTTAGATTTGGAAATTATATCTGATGACGACACACCATTAGTATCTTTAAAAATTACCAAACAGTTACAGGAATTGACCAATAGACGCCAAAATATAAACAGTAAAATTTATAATTCTGAATCAGATAAAAGCTATTCATCTGATAAAGAACCTAGTGCCAGCTATGACATTAATGCAAAGATAGGACGCGGTGACTTTCTATTAGTTAAATTGTATGTAGATGCATCTAAAAATAAATCCTACACCTATGCTTGCAAAACATTAACAGAAATTGAGGACGACGGAGAAATACAAGTAATGTTTTTACGAGTGGTAGATGAAAACGCCAAACGTTTTCGTTTGGATAAAAAGGATATTTCATACGTTAATCATGAAAATATTGTCAAAAAATTACCTGTACCTGCACTTGTTAAGAAAGGTTGTCGCTCTTATTATGTTTTTAAAGAGTCGTTAGAAGTTTTTGAGAAGATATAAGACTTGTAATTAATTGTTCGCTATTTCTTTATTGTTTTATTTTAATTTTTGATCTCATTTATGTTTATAAGTTTTTTATTTGTTGCCTTGTTAATGTTAGATTACGTTATGTGATTAGAAGTCTTTATGCGCAGGTGCTACCTTGTTCTCTAGCGTTACTAATTTATCTCTGGTGTTACCGGGTGTCCCCTAATTTGTAATTGTATTTTAGGAAATAGCTTCTGCAATATTAGTGGTAAATAATCAAAATTATGTAATAATAAGAATATAAAAGTACCGAGTGATTTAGATATAAGTTTCAAATGATTGATTATTTGTAATATGGAGCTATCTTAAAGTTAGACTTTAATTATTGCCAAAGTAAGGCAGTCCATTTAAAATATTATGCATCTCAAGAGGTAATAACAATAGACTATATTAAATTATTTTAAAAGGTTCTGTTTTTGTTGTGTTAAAGAATTATATATCTGATTTTTTTAAATAGTTCGTTTTATTTCACAAATAAATTTGCCAAAATAGATAACGCAGGTGAAAGATTAACGACAGACCTTCCTTTGTACTCAAAAATCTCAAAAAGTAAAGGTTTAAGTTCGCGGCTACCTTAGAAATCTAAAAATAGGGTAAATGCTATAATATATAAAAACATTTATTCTTGTAAATTCGATTAAATTATATTTTGATTTTTTGTTTCACAATGCTGTCAAAGGAATTTAGGTTGGTGTAATATTCACTGTCTAATATTGTATTTACTGTGCTTTAAATGTCATGCTGACCGCGCCACCCGCTTCGATTTTCAGAAAACTACGTAACTTTGCTATTTGTTCCTATTTCGTAGCGGACTGATAAATAACGGACTAGATGAATCGAGAATTCTTGTTTAAATTCAAAAAGGGTGGATCTGCCCGCTTGACACACTAACTAATTTTCATTTCATCATCTCTACTCTACGGCATGAAATAAGATAGAGTCTAAGAGTAGTAAGGATTATAAAAATGTTAATGTATATCTACCTAACGTGGAACGATGTGTTATTTTTTAATAGCTCTCCGCCGTTCCGCCCGCGTGGTCTTGTATTATACATAAAAACCTTCGTTTTGAATCAGCCTATCTATGATAAAATCGTATCAGAATCCGTTGCGTAGTTATAAAGATTGTTATAAAGACAAAGAAAGCGACTTTGTTTTATACTATGTTGTGAATACTCTCGATAGATGACTTTATAATATAATAATATAGATACTTAAAATTATTTAAGTATAGTGTAACGTAATATTTAGGTTTAATTTCGTATTTAAATTAAAATGGTGAAAAAAGTGACCTATAAAAACCTCCATTATTTATGCTAATAATATTAGTTCTCCAAACATAATAAAGGATTCAATAAAAAAATATCAAGCTCCTATCGCCATCTTTCCTCATTAAAAATTAATGTACAGTGACGTTACACATGTGACGTCAAATCATTGCTCGCACGTAAAACATATTCAAAACATTAAGTGAGTAGAATATAAAGAGTATTTATTGGGATAGTTGTCTATCAAAAAAAGTAATTTTCTATGCGTAAAGGCGTTCAGTAAAATTACTTATTGTAAACTATCCTTTGCAGTAAACCAATTACTTACTATTATAAAATTTAAATAGGTTTTAAATTATAATAGTAGGAGAGTATAGAATGTAATCATACTAACTGATAATCGTACTGCTTTTCTATGAAGATAATATTGGTGTGCCTAAAACACGATATTAGACAGTGATCTTAATAGATATGTTAAAATGCAGTCAGTTCCTATTAATATATTTCAATGATATACGTTTGATGGGTTGTGATGAATGATTTAATGACTTAAGTGATTTGCAACCGAAATTCGTGATATTTTATGTAGATATTTATACATTTCACGTACAAATTATTCTTTTATAATTTCGAAACTTATTTCTAACCATATCATTTTCATAGAATCGTCGCATTTAAGTTTTAATCATTATTGTCACTAGAACTCAGGATAAGTAATTAATTTTCTGTTCTTTATTAAAGTCCCATAGTATATAGAAAAATCGAATTTAATTCACATATATATTTACATTTAGTTCAATTTATGACATTCGCTATAAGAAGCAGAAATATTTCGTTTATATACGAGTATATAATACCTACTTTTAAATAATTATGACGATATTATGCTATATTGAATATGCATGCTCCGATGTCAGTGGAAAAAATATCGTAAGAAATAAGTTGATTTCCTCGATACGTATGTACAGTCCATAAAGATTTCGACCTCATACGGCATAACTTGAGATCATTCTTGATCAGTAGAACGTTTCGTATCCGGGTAGTAGCAGTCCTGACTATCCCTATGTTGGGAATCAGGGGCTAAATCCTCGCAGACAGTCGCTGCCATTGATGTGTGATCGAAAGCTGAGGGATGACAAGCGGGTCCGGTGAGGTCTATCCTGAAGGAAATTCATACAGAATGAAGGTCAATGTTAATAAAACTAGAATATAATGCGTAATAAACCAAAATGGCGACTGCAAAGAAACTAATATTTAGGTCTCGATACAGATGCGAGGTCGAGACACAGCGCAATATAATTATCGCCATTTTGGTTCAGTTTACATGCCAATATAGGTACAATTAACGGCATGTCTGGTTATACATAATTGTCAAATTTTCGAAAGTTCCATTTTAAACCTTTATACATTGAGGGTAGATATTAAAATCCATTACAGAAGTTTGACATATTGTGGTAACCTGACGTGCAGCCATGTGTACCTTTCCGATGCGAGTAGATGCATCTAATCTATTCCATATTGTCAATGTAACAATAATAATAGAAATAAACGCTTTATTACACTCGAAATAAAACAGTTTACAATAAATATAAAACAACACGTAAAGAAAACAAGGAGTAAGAAAAAGGCGGCATTATTGCTCAACAGCAATCTCTTCCAGCCAACGGGTGAAAGAGGTATATTTAACAATAGAGATACTGTGGGGAAGGAGCAACGTTAGAAACGATAAATAGATAAATGGCGGATACATCTTTAGATAAATATATAGATATAGAAAAAGATGAAACAGTTCTATAACGATAATAAATATATTAAATGAAGAAAAGAGAGGAAATTACTTTTAACCTGATTGCTGTAGGAGTTGATTGAGAGAGCTTTCCTGATACTCTCTGCAAGAGAATTCCAAAGTCCTATATGAAATAGCATGCACAAAGAAGAAATAGGAAACGAAATCTGTTGTGTGACGAGGAATCTTGAGAGTGAGATTGGACGAGGACCACTAGGAATAAAGAGATGATGTGGAGAGAAGGAAGAAAAAGAATAGAATAGAGAGTCAAAAGAGTATGCAAATCCCTGTGCCGGTGAATAAGATGCCACTGCAACTTAGAACGGAAGGGTGACACGTGGTCATATTAACGAAGATTAAAAATGAATCTAATGCAAACATTCTGCAGACGCTCATGTATATAAGAAGGGTATATACATCAGAGTAGTCAATAATATATAGTAAAAGAGGGTGTACCAGGGTGATCTTAGTGCTAGTCAGTAGAAAATTACGCAGGCGTTTGAGAGAGCCATACGAAGCAAAAACCTTCTTTCTGACTGCTTCTACCTGGGGTTTCCAAGAGATCTGATTATCAAACACAACTCCCAAGTTTCTGACAGTTTCAGAGTAGTAATATTGCCGTTGAAAATTACAGAAGGCAATTGTTCAAAGTCGATCGCATTAACGAAATGATGGATGTCAATTACAAAAGCTTGAGTCTTAGAAGGGTTAACTATAAGACATTACTCCAATCGTTGATGAGTGAAAGATCAGAATTAATAAACAAAACAGCTCTCGTAATATCAGATAACGGTGTATAGATCTGGAGATCATCGGTGTAAAGGTGATAAGAATATAAAAGTGAATGTACTGAGTGAATTTCTAAAGATAGAAAAAAGTAATATAAGACGACACCCTGAGGAACGCCAGCATTTATATCACACCATCCAGAGACTACATCGTGAACACGGATGCGCTACCGATGCCCTAGCAAATAACTTCGAAACTTTACAAAACTTCAACAATTGTAGTTGGAAATACGTTAAGAGAAACCAAACCACCTAGAAGCGCATCAAAATTAACAGAGTTGAAAGCATTACCAAAGTCTAGTAACGTCTGCAGCCTGAGCTGCTTATTATATATATCGAAACCAGATTGTAAAAAAGAATTAAGAATAAGGTTTTCGAGAACTTTGGGAAGGAAAGGAAGAATTGAAATAGGACGATATTCAGAAAATAGGGAAGGATTTGGTTTTTTTGGAAGTGGGATGACGTTAGCGTCCTTCCAGAATCTAGGAAAAACACCAGTAGAAACTGATTTATTTTGGTGATTATTGGGATAGGATGTCAATAATAGATAGGACCATTTTCCGACTAATAGAATCACAACCTACTGCATCAGAATTAATAGATAAAATAGTTCTCTTAACATCACAATCTGCAAATTGATGCAAGAAAAAGGAAGGATTGAGAGTTAGTAGATTAGAAAGATGACGGAGAGGTTCAGCCTTACCGTTCCCATTAATAAGTGAAGAGGTTGAAAAGTAACTATTAAGTTTATCAGAATCACAGCAATATGATTTGCCAGCCCCCACTGATCTTAGAGACTACCAAACTTTTCCAGGGTCAACATCTTCAACTGAGTTATGGATATACGTTACGTTTTTGAGCTTCCCCGATCAGAATGTTGCACCTATTTCTAGCACAATTGTATTTTACCTCATTATTAAAGGATATACTTTAAAATTTATTTGATACTAGCTGTGCCCGCGACTTCGTCCGCGTGGGAAGTATTTTGTTAGAAATCTTTTTTTCCAATGAATGGGCTCGAATCGAATAAGATCAATGGGCCATAACCCACTATGCGGGCTTAATACGGATCGGTGGGTGTTAACGTTGCTGATGCAGCCAGGACTAACGGCTTAATTTATTTGATATAAAAAGGATTTTTATATTGATTAACTCCCGAAATCACTTAAGTTATAGTGAGAGAATTTTTATTTCATGTAGATACAAATATTGTGTTAAAATAATTTACCAAAGGCAAATTTAGAACCTGCGTCTTCTGGTACCTACAAAAGAGCGGAGACTCCATATCATAACATAAAAATAATCAAATTATCTGATTTTGTACTCAAAACCAAATTAAAATCTCCAAATTAAAGTGAGCAATTAAAGACATTTTAATTGCTCTCTGTAATATGGAGTAAATGATGCCTAATTTATTAATACACGTATTATGGACACACTTACCTACCGGTGGTGGTGAGATCAATACCATCGGTTCAGGAGGAGCGGCGGCCGGTGAGCGACCCGACGAAAGATTTAAGCGCTTGCCCGAGCGATGCACGCCCGTTATCGCTCGCACCGCTCCCGCCGCTTCCGGCGCTGCCTCCGCTCGCAAGCGACGCTGCACCACCGTGAGCGTCCAGACATTTCTGATAGCGCAGCTGTAATTCACGGTTTTCTAATATAGTAGAATACACAATATTATCAAGAGGAAATATTTGATTGTTTGTTTATTTGTTTGCAATGGCTCTGAAACTACTGGATCTATTTTTTAAATTCTTTCACCTACGTAAAGCTACATATGTGGTATATTCATAGGCTATATTTTATCTCGAAAAACACCAAACAAAGGGGATGAAAACGGGAGTGAAAATTTGTATAGAGGATTTAAACGTTACCATAGAGTGATTGTTTACTAATCAATGTGTCATTGTTATTTGTTATATCCGTGTCATGATATGAATCGGAAAGCCATTTTATTCTTAAATGTTTCAATGACTTGGCCTCGCGATTTCATTCACTCTGTTTGTTGAGATATGGCGTTAATGTTCTTATGATTTTTTATCAATGACATTCAATATCCGTCACAAACATCCTTGAGACGATCGACAAATCTTTTATCAGATCAGAATGGGGCTACGTCAATCCTAATTCTGCCAATTTCACAAAGATGAAACCACCCACCTAACGCCATTGACAGCCAACATGAATAAAACTGTTCTTGATTGTGTTAGTTTACCTTACAAGCCGCCTCAATAGTCTTGCAGAGTGCCCCGGAGGACGGCTCCGCGTGGAACGCGTGCGCAACGAACAAGTCTTGAGCCGTGTGCACGATGAACGCGCAACGACGCACATCACGACCGATGCCCAGGAACGACAGATAGCGGACACGGCATTCCACCAGTGGTGTGGTTTCCTAAATAAACAATCTCATTGATACAATAGGTACTATGAAAATATTATTTATTTATTTTTTATATTTATTTATTATTCTTGGAAAACCAACAGCTAAACAAACATGATAGATTTCAGCATAAAAAACATTAAGCCAATTATAGGTTTCAACATAAAGAAAATTATATAAGACAATATCGACTTCAATGTAAATATGTAAATTAACTACATTACATTACGTTGAACTCTTGAAATCGTATCTTGTGCTCTTATGGGAGAGAAAACCAACGCGGTAAAGAATTAAAAAATTTACCTATTTAAATTTCTCGTGTTCTTTGTTACCAGTAAGAGTGTATAAAGTAAGTTAACTACAACACGAATTTTGCGATTCTGCGATCGACTGATCAGTGGGAACAGCCCTGAGTTTCCAATGATCAGAAACTCACTTCACTTATGTTAAGAAACGTTATTACAAATTCAAGATTAAGCGGATGCTGATTTTTGAAGTGAATTTTTGAAATTCGAATATGGTTTTGAATGGGATTAAATGGATACTTAGTTTATTTGATTTATGGAATTTAAGTTTTCTAAAACTGGATCTTAGCCTTATTAAGAGGAGCTCGATGGCGCAGAGGTAAGCGCCTCCAGTCTGCGATGCAGAAGTTTGTTTCGTTTGTTTTGTTTCGCTATGACCGTCCATAGGATTAAAACAAAAATTTATCGTCTTAAGCTCCGTGCTTTAGAAGACACGTTAAACCTTTCGTAACAGCTATACCTATAGTCGTTAACAGTCGCCAATCCGTATTAGGTCCGCATGGTGGATTATTTAGGCCCACTTCTCTAATCCATTCCATTTCCTGTGCCCCAGCAAAGACATAAAGACATGACCCAATCGTTACAGTACTCACCCCACTTATATAAGATGTAACATTATTTCGTGAACTTAGTGTTGCTCCCATGGTAAAAGATATTTAGTATATTTAACTCATCCGCCATACGAAGTCCTGGCACATAATAATGTTACACATTATATAACCCATAGGGTCTTTACAGTACTCACCCCGTCTTCAGTGACAGTTATCATAGATGGCGCAACGGCAACGGCGACTGGCCGCCAAGCGGATGGTGCTCGCGCGCACGCAAGACGTTCTATGGCGTCGTTGAGGACGTCCATGCCCGTCGCACGCGGCACCTCGGCACTACCCAGGTAACGTGCGCGGACAGTCTTACGTGGCTCCTCCATAGGTGTGGGGAAAGAGGCACCTGTGTTGTTTCATTTTCTATATTACTACCCGGCAGACGTTGATTTGCCATATAAAGGAGAATAGGCAATTTAGTATAGAGTTTGGTCCAAATATTGTAGCACTTTGATACAATACTTGGAATGAGTTGTTACGCCTCTGATCTACTAGAAATGCAACGTAAAGCATATTGTTATGACATTTTTAGTAGATAACAATATATATTTCAATATAATACAATTAATAATTATACAGAGTTTTAAAGGTACGAGTGGCAACTCGCCAATTATCTCCTTTTCTGACGATTGAATAACCTATAAGCGACAGCCCTACTTGTTTAGGATACTATCGGTAGGTCAGGGCTCGAAGTGGCGTACGTGTTTTGTTTTACTATGATATAACATACCAGCTAAGACCCTCGGTCTACGCGCAGCCGGCAGATCTGTTGGACGCGGCGGAGGCTGAAGAGACCTCTCAATCATGATCCTCTTGCATATATCCCGCAGTGCATTAGCAATACTGCGCGCCGGTGCTTCACATCTGAACACGTGACACATGTGCTTGCGCGTCGCTCGATCGCGTGCCACATAAGCGAAATCTCTGCGACAATAAGCGTTAGAATTTAGTACTCGTATGAATTAACATGACACCTAAAGGCCTATTCTATTTCTCCAAAAACGAAATTTCTTCTATAGTCGAAATGCCAACGCATTTTTTGATACTTTATGATGCAACGGAGGTAAGGCCCAACACCGCCTCTGATGCATTCTGATGCAAAGATAATATTCATGGATATGATTTAAAAATATATATAAGAACGATTTGAAATTTTCCAAGTTTTCGTTCGCGAACAAATAAAATAGGCCCTCAGGTATCACTTTAATTCATACGAGTTATAATCTACTAAATCACACTCTGTGAAGGGTTAATTCCGAAAAAATATTCAAAGCGAAATTCATTTTCTAGAAAGCGCAGTGTTAAAAATTCTAATGATTGTGATATTTTAAACGTTACAAAAATATGCAAGCTATATTGATTTTATGTCTAAGTGGTGAATTTATCATACCGATATACTAGGCATATGCCTAGAGACACGACGATACAGACGGACACGGAATTTTATGAGAAAAAGGCGTTTTTGTTCTCGTTATTGCGCTATTAAAATACGGTCGTCGATGAGGCACTGGCTTAGGACTTCGATGACCCTTGATCTGTTACTGGCATTTAGACTTATTTTTTTTTAATTTATTAATATCTTTTGCATTTCATACTTTAACGTTAAGTTTATCTGAGGCCATGGTAGTGACCAGCCAATGCAGAACCAAAAGAAAAAAGAAATTGGATTTTTACAACTTGCACATTTCTGTTTTGTTCGATTCAATGAATTCTTCATATGCTTGATGCAAATTAGCATGTGTGGACTCAAAATAAATTGCAATTTAAACGCCTCTATCGGCTCCATACCTTTCACTGTTCCGAGATCGCAGGGAAGGGAAAGAAAATTAGTCTTTTAGTTAAATTTTTGTGACGTCACTAACGTCTGGTTATATCTATTTTTTGTCTAGAACATGAAGTTATATGATAGTTATTATCCTGAATCCTCCACGGTAATTTATAAAACTTGGCTACATCAAAGCGTGGGAGAGGTTAGATAGGGTTATGTACACACAACATCACGTTAGGTTACCACAGTATATCAAATCTGTAATCAATAGGTTTTGAGCTTTATGTAATCAATAGGTTCTCAATTCGTCACCATGAAACCTATTTGGATAATCTAATATTTACTCAGAGCCTTAAATCAAATAATCAAATTTTATGTGTAGATACTGCAATGCTATTCTGTTTTAAGAGTAGCCTTTAGCTCGTTTCAATCAGGTGAAAGCTACTTGTAAAGGTACGAAGGTTTTATTTTATTGATGAAGTATCCTGGTTGTTATATTGGCAGCGTTGCGTTCCGCTGCGAGACTGTTTTACGACAGAACAGCATAGCCGTTTAATAAATAAGTTATTTACCAACTTACAATTTTACTCTAACTCTGATAATTTTTGCAAGCGGGAATTTTCGTGGACCTCTCAAATTTGTCTTGTTCAGCTTTGGCGCACCGAACGCTTTGACTATAGCTAAACTAAGACCTACTGAAAACCATAAAGACTTTAAAATTTTATTTCTGGGAAGACATATACTCGTACCATTCATATCTTACTTACTATCAAGTCATATAGTAGTCAAATGTCAAGACCGTCTTTTTTGTAACGCAGGGGAAATTCAGCTCGGCATGTACAATACAGGGCTCTCCGACCCCGCACCCATCCTAAATAGGACGGACTTAAGTGAGGTCGGCTTACCTGGTAAAACCCGCTGCGAGTACCTTCAGGGGCGGGTAGAGGGACTGCCGGCGAGTCCTCAAGACTAGGACTCCTGCGGTATACACGCCTTTGTAATCTAGCAGTTCCGCGAAATTCCGCCTTTGTAATCTCGCAGATAGTGGGATTGAAAATTTCTCGGATACTCGAAATACCGAGATCTCGGTATTGCAGAATTGGAAGCTCCACTGCGTAACCAAGTCTATAAATAAAGTAAAGAGTGTCATACCGTCCATTGTCCCTGCCGACGCCCCATACACGAATGGTGTGTATGGGCTGTGTATGCAATGTTGTCAGACTTTCAGGATCTATCAACTTCAGTGCGCCATCATCCAAGTCCATGAATAAATCTTTGCCCTGTAATAAAATCGCTTTTATTTTTAAAACAAAACATGCGATAAATAAATCTATTAACCAAAGATGTCTATCTATATTTATGTCATAATCATCAACGCTTTTACATCCCCACTGCAGGGGTTCAGGCATTCTTTATAGGTGGTTTAGAAGGATGAGCCCCCATCATTCGTGCCCAATTTGGAGGGTATTAACGACTGCCAACGCAGCCGGGACCAAATGAAAACCGGAGCACGGAGAAGCTCGAGATATCAGTTTTTGGTCACCCATCCCGTGACCGACCCTTGCTTAACAACAACGACCCCGAGCCCTTATCCACTACACCACCGACCTACACTTTACAACTAAACTAATGTAATAAAGAAGAAGTATTTCATTGTTGTTTACATTGAATAGGTTCCGAAATCACCGGACCGATTTTAAATTCCTTTCAAATAAGGAAGCTACATTATACGCGGGTGACATAGGCTATAACTTACGCGGGCGATGTCATATTTGCGCGAGCAGTATAGATTGTTCTCTCTGGTTTAGGTGTGCTATGAATGACCAATTTTTCTATGACTCATATCGGGACATCGTTTTTTCACGAATACGAGGAGGCTTGAAAATTTTAAAATCCTTTTAAATTGAGTAAGTAGCAAGTAGTAAGTTGAGTAAAAGTAACTTTAAATTGAGTGAGGTAAGACTGCAATGTAAGATTAAATTAAATCGACACTCACGTCACCCCAACGTCCAACTTGATCAAGCAGATCGTTGCGGCCGAGGCTCAGGTCGACGATGCACTTGTTGACGGCGCGGCTGGACCGCTCCGGCGTCAGATCAGACTCGGATATCTCCACCCAGCCGAGGGAACGCACGAAGAAACGAACCGCGCGACCGTTGTCTGGTTCCGGGCGGGCAGGGAAACTGCGCCGTCTGAGAAAAGACGTTCTTAGAATTTTGCCTTCTTTGTGGTAACTCTGATAACAGTATTGTATTGTACAGTATCATCACCAGCTTATTAATGACTGGTTAATGTTGGAGCTCAGGCCTTCCCTATGTATGGAATCAAATCGAATAAGGAGAATAGGCCATGGTATGGTGGTACCACGCCAGTCCAGTGCTGATTGGTGGGTGTTAATGCTACATATGCAGCTGCAACCAGCGGCTTAACATGCCTTCCGAAGCACGACGAAGTTCGAGATAATAGATTTATGGTCACCCATCCTGTTGGCTAACTAATTCGATATCGAGCTCCAAAAACGAATGATTAAGAATGATAATTATGGATTTAACAACAGTGTTCCAAACTTGGTTAATTTTGTTATCCACCAAATGCTAATTTTCAATCTCGTCTAGAGTTATGACGGTTAAGTTTTTCAGTCTTTCTATAGATAATTATCAATATAGTGTTGTGAATGCAAGTTTTATCAAATATGTTATTCAACTAACTAATTAATTACATAATAGACTCTTGGAAGGATAGCCAACAACACATCAGCTTATACACTGTCCAAGTTCTTCAACTGATTTCATACCGAAGTTCTGCTGTGTGTATATTGAAAGAGCTCACTTATAAGACATTTCTTCCTTCCTCCTCCTGTCTTCTTGATCGGCATGATCGAGGGCTCCACTGGTGGTGCTCCTTGTGACCGATCCGGTCATGACCCCCTCATATTTGTTGACCTCGGATAGATTGGAGCAGTCTCGCACCATCGAGATCCGGGAGTCTTTGGCTTCGACCGGAGGCATTTTGGGAACCTCACGCTGGATCGTACCGCTTTTTATGTGCCAGTAATACGGACCATCGTTGTCTGAAAGTAAATTTTAAGAGTTATCTATACATACTAACATTTATAAAAAGATAAAGTTTCTAATTTTGTTTGTTTGTAGGCAGGAATTTTCGGAAACAATGATCTGATCCTGAAAATCTTTCATCTAATTACGCCGGCGAAGTCGCTGGACAACAACTAATATGAATTAGGAATCTTAGAGAAATTCTTATTAATGTGACAACTTTATTGTATTATTTTTTATTAACATAACATCTTCCTTAACCATGATTCTTATTCAAGCGAGTTCTAATAATCATTAAGTAAACTATTTTTGGTGACTTAGACAAGGAAGAGATTCTCAATTGGACTAAACTTTTTTGTATTTAGTTAGATACGAGTATATTTCTTGATATCTTCGCCATTATAATGTATGATCCTTTTTTGTTTGAAAGATTTCATGAGGATCTGACTAGAAGTTATTTTGTAAGGCGCCCCGGATTAGCAGATGTGTCAGTCGCGGGCAAACCTCCACTCCGCTCCAATTCCGTATCGTATTGTGGGACTGTATAAGAAACATATATTTTACCGTCCGCCATGGACGTCCGCCTAGGTCATCCGGAATGGACTGAACCAAGCCTAAGTACTTAAAGGTGAAAAATAATTTAAAAAAATTAAAGACGGTAAAGAAATTCAATGGACTTCATTTTAAGTTACGCTGTTAAAAGTATAGTCAGCAATTTATTTATATTTCACACCCGTGACTTTCCCCTATTGCTGAGCTGAAACCGAGAAAAACTTTTTTGTTAAAGTTATGATAATGCATCATAAGTCTCAGGTCTCTCCAACCACTAGCATCTGTCTCAAGGAGCTAGCTTAATGCGTGGTTAGCCTGCCTAATAAAATCCGCTGGGGCGTGCCCTCGCGTGGAGGGAAAGGTCCAGGATCCAGCTTTAAGGGCATTTGATATTACAGAATGTACTCAACGAGTCAAATACATAACACGTCAAGCTAATTCAATCAACCCGAGAAAAACCTATAATATTGTAGCTCCTCCTTGCTGAGTTTCTTGCCGGTCCATCTCAATATAAGGTCTCCCGCCGTAGATTTTTGTGCCAACGGCACCGCTTTTGACTTTCATAAATAAGCATGTAGTATTAGTACTCAGTTAGTCTGTAATTTGAAAAGGAAAATAATACCTTCATGTTTCTCCCACCCTGGAGGTAGGTGTTCCTTCTTTGGTCGCAACTTGACAGGTATAGCATACAAGTCGTCATTGGGGCCCTCCGCGCTGTGAGGCACGGGACCCGAATGACTCTTCTCTGTGTCCTCCTGATCGGCTCTCTCTTTCTCCGGTGGCGGAGACTCTTCCCCACCATTCTGTTGCGGAGGTGTGAGGTATCCATTCTTTTCACTGGAACAATAGTCAATAATTTATAACGTCAATAATTTTAAAAATACATAACTTTTTAATCGGTTTTAAAATATCCGAATACACTGAAGCCTTTAAAACTCGTTAAAAGCGATCAATAATCTATTGTTGATTTTAATCGCAAATTAACCGGTGTGGTAGATAGGATTAACCTACTTGTTCAACCCTTATTTTAAACAATTTCCTCGTGATATAAAGTAAACTAATATGTCCATATAATAAATTAACACAGCGAGTACCAACTTAGACTGGTAAAAGTATGTCCTTTCCACTCAACTCCATTTCTGCGCCAAACGTTAAAATCGTTTCAGTGGTTTAGCCGTGAAAGCGTGACAGACGGACAAAGCTACTTTCACATTTATAGTAGGTATTAGTAAGGATAAGGCTCTATTTTGTAAAGTAGCATAGATGGTAATTGTTATATCATTAAGTGATGTCAGAAGCATAAAAGTGTAGTAGTAATGAAAATAGTAGTTACAGGTACCTAACTAAATGTAAATGAAGAGCAAACTTGGTCTCTTGATTATATCGCACGAAAATGGCGTGAAACTATAATTAGTTGATTGTACAGAGTTCTTTTTATTTCCATATTTTGTAACTATAATTCCCTAAAGATTATACTAACTAACTACTACCGCCTTGATATAAAAAGAAAACTGAAATTAGAACAATTGGCACAACCTTAATGACAATTACAGAAAAGAATACGTCAAATTGAGTCGTTTCGACTTGTTTAGGTCGGAAAATGGTTTAAACCCGAAAGAAAAGTAAATAAGGATCTCTGTGAGGAGAGTTCCCCACAGCCACAGCAAGATCCACGTAATAATACAATTTAAATAATAATGTTATAATTAAATAAAATATATTTTCTTTCTGATAAAACTCTTGATGAGATTTAGATTATTTTGGTTTTGAAACGTTTGTCGTAGTCCAGGAAAGATTTAAACGGTGAGAGGTGTACACGAAGTAGACACAGTCATCTAGTAATAATTATATATTAACAATATTTATCAATGAATCCAAACATACTTATCATCGAAAGACAATTTGGTCACTAGTTCCGTGTTTAAACGCGCCTGTTCTATTTCAATTCAACATGCTAATTAGAAATCTCATCATTATTTAAAAAATATATAATAATCGTATAAAAACACCAACGAAATAATAAAAATTAAATTAATCTCGCTTACATGTTATATAAAAACTGCATTACGATTCAAATGGTCAAAAACGCGCTTTCCAAGGTCTACAACCAGACAGATGGTTTAGCACTGGTGCAAACAAAGACATGCGTCACGTTATCTGATGATTCATGGTTGCCAGAAATACTCGATTTACGTAAGAACTGTTAAAACTCTTCATTAGGTAATAAAGTGGCATTTAAAATAACCAATATGCAAGAGCATTGGAATTATATTTTGAAATTAATTTCATGGTGATATGTTTTGTCTGTATGTTATATTTTAATACCTATGCCTGAAACAAATTTGATGAATTTTAATTGATTTATTGGACCATGAAGCTTTTTCTTTTGTCTTTTGTTATTCTTTTGTTGTTAACTTTTCATATTCTGTTATCAGTGTTATTTGCAGAATTTAAAACTAAACTAAATATTATTTTCACCTCTCATGCTTAAAATGCGCTTACAGAAAAGTGTTTATTTATAAAAACATTTTGTTTTGTAAACGCGGCGGTGGTGCTCTCGACGATTCGACAGGATTCCTTACACTCTCTTTATATTTCATAATGCCCTTTTAATGTTGTAGTTTTTAATGAGAGTGTACCGACCGGGAAGATGGTTATGATCTTACGTGGAGCTGTGTTTTTTGTGCTGTGAACGTTTTTTTGACTGTGTATTACTGTTGGCCTCAGATGGTCTTTACAGTGTAACCGAAGTAAGGGACGGCGAAATCCTTAGGAACTCAAGCCGAGATGACGATCGTCCTCAAGGCTATCCACTAGGAGGGGCATCACCCCACCACCCAGTGTCTCCACTCCATCGTAGAGTCGCCCTGAACTCTCGTGTCGGACGCTGGGCGTCTAATCGATATGGGAAGGAAGTTGTATAAATGCTAAGTCGCGATTAAACTTAGTCAGCGCGATGCAGGTATCGCGGAGAAATCTGGTGACTAGTCGATGTAGAAGCTTCCGTCTTGCCATCGATTATTGCGGCAATGAATAGGTGTCGCCACAAACCTATTAGTAACTATTGAAACCGATAGATAATGTTGTTCTCTGTTAGTTCGTGCTAACGTTTGTTTGCCTTAGAAAGCATAATAGTAAGAAGTGATTTCCGTTAATACTTATTATCAACCAATTTCAAATAAAATCTGTTGAGCCTACGAAATATTATACATACACATTACATCAAGCAACAATAATGGAAAATAGCTATAATGGGCCACTCTTTGAGAACAAATGATAATTCTTCAGACTCAAGTGAACAAAAGAGAAACCATCATTTAATTTAATTAATTAATGTGTATTATTTTTCTCGAAATCAGCATCTTAAAAACTTTCTCTGACTGACGAAACGCAGTGACTCAAACCGTCTATAAAACGATTAAAGTTAGTACCCACTCCGTTTAAGTCATTGGCCGCTTAAATCAAATTAACAATGACAGAATTAGTAGACTTATTTTAGTCGTATAATAGTTTAAAACTACTAGAGTTATTCCTCTTTTAATAATTAAACGGTATAAAACTATTAAAAAATGCAACAAACCGCTTCCGTTTCAATCTTCCCCGTCTCCGCAATGCGACAATATGAACTTTAATACGACACATTAAGACACAGAAATTATTTTGTATCACGTTCACAGTACACGACACTTACACGCCGAATGAGAACACAAAGGAACCACGAGTTTGGTAAATTATACTTGTTTTAATTGTTTTTACGTTAATTAATCATCGTTGGTATAATCGACGGTAGCCATTTGTAAACATTGGAAACGAACAACAGTATTAATTGTCTGCGCAATGTTATCTATACTTATATTATAAAGTGGTAATGTTTCTAACTTCGTTTATTTATAGGGGTATGTAATCTTCGGAAATACTTATCCAAATATGAAAATGCTTTCATCTATAAAGCTATATAATACGCGGGTGACATAGGCAATAATTTAGGCGGGTATAGTCACTGGAAAACAATTCGTTTCGTAGATTGTATTCATGTTTCGATTCATTCAGACACGTGGGAATAATTTAATTTTGTGAATGGAAATACCCATACCAAGTCACACTACAAATAGAAAAAAAGCTACCTTTGCTGAGTTTCTTGCCATATCTTCTCGATAGAATGTCTCCTGCCGTAAATTTACGGACAGATGGCATAGAATTTGTTTGTAGCAATCTAGATTGTATAAATGATTCTGATTTTTTATTTGACACCTTTTACCTTTTAATATACTTTTGAAGGGCCATAGGCGCAGGCGAATAGCGAGAAAATATATAGTCAGAAATTAAACTGTATAATAATGTTTATATTTTATTAATACTCATATTTTTAACTTTGAATAGCATAGCATACTTGGAAAATGCGGGGGAAATGGTTAAGGGTCAATAGATGCACTAATAACAGCGTTTCTCGATCAAATGGATCTTGTTGTGTCGGAAAGTGACGTCAGAGTGGCAAGTGTAAGTTTTACTCTAACGCGTTCACTAGTGTGCGCGTAAGAATTTGTATGGAGATTTGTAGTTCTTGGTAGTTACCGCTAGGGGCGCTGTACCGGATTTCATACTAAAATCTTAACGCGCTCACGATCGACAGTGAACGTAAACGTCAAAAAAACTTACACCAAGCGCTCTAGAGTCAAAAAAGCTTGTTTGAAAAAAGGCTACCTACTTCACAAATTTACTTTTATCCATAAAGTAACACAGGGTTGTATATTTTTGGCAAGTATTTAGAGTAGTTTTAAATATATCGCACCCCTGCTGGAAACACCTGTTAACTGACATTTTTTTACAAAAATTAGTTATATACACCATGTTACAGAGAATTTCGTTTTTGTAAG